GGCTTGAGACACTCTGCCACAGGCCATAACGATGGCACCGCTGCAGCCACGCACGTCACGGGTTCTGGGATCACACAGCTCTACCCCTTCCCCAAGTTTCTTGTTGTCATGACCATAATCAGGTCGACCTGGTGTTCGGCACGCAGCGCCTCGACTAGCCTGACACACCAGCCTGACATGCTGGCCCATCGCAGCCGGACGTGGGCACACAGAGGCTCTGGTGCTTGCCCGAGATGAGGCGTGGTGGGCGAGGGTGCCCTTCAGCACCTCTTGTGCAGCAGTGTTTCCGTCCACGAGGCCTCTAGAGGTGCCAGCCTCGGCCGTGACGGTGGCTTACCAGGAAAGCCAAAGCGTGAACACACTCCTTGCCTCCACGCCGCTCTGCGGCAACAGGGCTAAGTGGATTTTATTTCCTTTAGGTGTCAGTTAATTATGTTTACAATGAAAAATGTTGGTATTAAATAAGTTTATATGAACATATGGGAGAAATAACTTAACAGTAGCACATGTAAACGGAACTTTTACAAGCATTTCAGTTAATGTTTCTATCCAGGTGGGGAAAGTTTATCATATTAGTTGAAATATTCTAAACACAATTAAAATATGCTGTTAGGATTTTAATAAGCCAGTTTGATAAAACTGTGCACTGAGCAAAATTGCAGCAACTTATAGACTTCTAAACAAATCTGCACAATTAGAACAAGTGTTGAGACCTTGCCACTCATGTGAGAGGTATGAACAAAGTTCCAGACACGGTGGAGGGGAGGTCTTTGTACTTCTCTCCCCCATCCTTCCCTCTCTCTGTTACTATCTCCGCTAAGCGACCTGTGGAGCCAGCGTCTCGTTGGGATCTGTTGGAGTCTCAGCTGCTCCAGTCCTGACCCAGCTGCTTGCTTACAGCCTGGGAAAGCAACAGAGGATGGCCCGTGTGCGCAGGCCCCTGCACATCTGTGGGAGACCTGGAAGAAACTCCTGACTCCTGGCTTTGGACCAGTGCAGCTCCGGCTGTTGAAGGCATCTGTGGAGTGAGGCAGTGAACTGAAGTTCTCATAATTCTGCCTTACAAATAAAAACAAACTTGTTTCTTTTAAAAAAGAAAGGAATGGGCCCGGTGTGGTGGCGCAAGTGGTTAAGGTTCTCACCTTGCACGCCCAGGATCGCATATGGGCGCCGGTTCTAATCCCAGCAGCCCCGCTTCCCTTCCAGCTCCCTGCCTGTGGCCCGGGAAAGCAGTCGAGGACGGCCCAAAGCTTTGGGACCCTGCACCCGCGTGGGAGACCCGGAAGAGGCTCCTGGCTTCGGATTGGCTCAGCTCCAGCCATTGTGGCCGCCTGGGGAGTGAATCATCAGACGGAAGATCTCCCTCTCTGTATATCCGCCTTTCCAATAAAAATAAAAATAAAGCTTAAAAAAAAAAAAGGCATGATGAATGTTTTAGAAAGGTACCAGAAACAAAGCAATTCTAATTTTACCTTGGTTTTATTTTAAAGGGGGAAAATAAATAGAATTAAAAACTTAAAAAATGACGCAATAATATGTTGTCATTAGATGCTAGGATAGTGTGAAGACTTCCTAGATGAGAAAGGGGATGCTTGCCAAGTGGCAGTTAACACAGGTGAGGCTCAGGCAGCAAACACCAGCAGCCATCCCTCAGCTGAGTGATGCTCCGCTGTCTGTCCGTGGAGCTGCCATCCCTCTCTTCTGACTCCAGAATCAAGGACGGGGTCCCTGCTCCCTGCCAGGGGTGGCCACTTGCATACCCATGGCATCATTCACAGGCCTACTACAACATTGCTGTGGTTGCCCTGGCAGGGCCTGAGCCCTGCTCTGGATCCTGAACTTGCCTTTCCATCCTGAAGAGCCAGTGTGGATGCGAAGGGAGGTCTACCCATCTGGTATTATGACTTCTGTTAGATTTTAAAAAGAACTTCTGTCTGCAGAGTCCCCCTGTTTCATCCCTGTACTTCATCATCCTGCCTCTGTTACTTCTCTTCATTGTTTTGATTTGAACTTGTTGATTAACTCTTAAAGTTTTTTCTATTGTCACTTTCAATTTTTTCCTTATTATTTCATTCCTCTTAAGAGGAGACTTTAAGAAAATAGTTAAAATTTATATTCATTTTGGCCCTCAATTTTTGAAATCTGTGCCTTCTAAACATTCATTGAAAATGTATAGAGTAAAAACAAGGTTGCATGGATTTCAAGAAATATTTGTTCCAATATAAACTTATCTTTTTTGTCATTTTCCATGTATTTGAAGTCCCTTTGTATTTTCTTTATTTCATTACTCTTTTTCAAGTTCCCTACTTTCAAAGAGAAACTTTACTGTAAACAATCTACGTTTGAAATGTCTAGAGCTCAAGTTCACCATCTGACTCTGTTGCCTGATGACACCTGCGGCCTCCCAGGCCCCTGCCACCCTCTCAGATTCTCTGCTCCAACGATTCCTGTTACTCATCAGAGCAGCGTCTGAGTCCCACTGTATCCTCTTGACATGTCCATCAGCACGAAGGGCCCAGCGCCTCCTACGTCCTCCAGGGACATCTCCCTGTTCTCTGCCAAATCGGCATGCTCAAGCTTCCCCACCGGTGTTTGTCTCGGTCTCATTTGACGCCCCCTCTCCCCACTCCCAGACTCTCAACACACCCCTGCAGCATGCATTTGGACACCACTCAGCACACAAAAGCACAAAATGCAACAACTTGTAATCACCACGCGGTAGCTAGCTGGTGATTGTCATTATGTGCTTACTAATTCATTGGTGTTTGCAACAATAATACAGAAAGGAGACTAAGGTTCCAGGCTTATGAAAATTCAGAACATTTCATTTTTGAACTGAATTTTCAGAATAAAAATTTGCAATTAAATAAAACCATCTTATCTTAAATGAAACCATTTTTATCTTCAAAGAATCCAAGCAATTCCAGTTTTTCTCTCTCCACAGGACTAAGCTGCCAGTGTACTCATCATCTTAAAACGATGTGCTCACGAAACAAAAGCCACGCTGCTGGAACAGCTGTGGGCCAGCCAGAAGTAAAATGCCCAGTTTTTGTCTTGGTTTCTTGGATATCTTCAACTTAAAACCACTGCCTTTCCCTTCAGACACTTGGACACACACACACCTATACTTGTGACATTGAGCATCCTAGCGAAGGGAGTAGAATCACTTCCAGGGTTAAGGAGGAGAAAGCTGCACATGGCTTAAGTTAAAAAGCTCGGAATAATTCTTCAGCTGAAAGAGACATCCCATTTTTCACATCTCCACCTCACTCCGCTGCGGAGTGCTAAAGAATTCGATACATAATGAAGATTACATCTTGCTGGACTGATGTCATTCCAAGCTCGTGCTCATGCAAGCTGCTAGATCCATTCCACAAGCCCAATGGCTTTAATGAAACGTCTCTGCTACATACTTTCTATTCATCACCTTAAAAATCCAAAGCAATTTTTCAGAAAGTGTGAAAATCCCCCCAATTTGTAATCGCCAAAGCACAGATAAACTTGAGGCAGTATTGCCTTTTTTCTGCATGAAACTTTGCACCTAGAAGTGGCAGACTTTATTAAAAAAAATATGTATCTTGGCCTAGCTTGGAGCTTAAATCTAAGCACAGATGTGTTTGGGCAGAGAGTGTGATGAGGGGGAAATGAAACATACCTGTCAGGCGGAATGCTGCACAGTACTGCAGGGCAAGGGACAGCCCGCGTGGACGGGGGAGGGTGCTCAGCGGAGGCAGCCAGGTGTTAGGTCAGGCAGGCCTACGCAGCAGCAATACAATAACCACTCCATCTCAGTCGCTCAACATGGCAAGGGCTTCCTGCCAACTCCATGTCCACCATAGGTCAGCAGTGGCCTCTTTGCAGCCATTCAGGGACTCACCGTTTGGAACACAGGGTGATCCAATATTTCCTTTGTGGATGCTGCAGCTGCATGACAACCATAGGGTCATGAATGTCCCCTAAATGTTCAGAACTGCTTGTCCATGACTGTTCTCCCAGCCCCATCTATGGCCAGAGAGCTGAGGGGGGTGTGCTGTGTGCCGCTCACAAAGGACTCGGGAGGGACCTCTCCGGCAGGAGCGGATCTGAGCAGACAAAGGGAAGGGGGCAGCTTTGCAGGCATTTGCAGGAATTACTCGCTTTGTCATTAATGACTGCAACACAGATTGCATTCACCTGCCATGTTTCTAATGAACTTCAGCTTACTGATTGTGATAGTGGTAACCAAACATCAGAAACTTCCTCCAGCCTCTGCCTGGTCCCTGAAAAAACACCTTAGTTAAACCTGTTACATCTCTCACACACAAGCAAGAAGTGTTAGTACACTCCTTGCCTGTATCACATGCTTCAGGACTCATCACCTTCTGGATAAAGTCCTACTTCAAAGACGGACAGGAACCTGCTTCTGCACACTCCCCACTCACTGCTTTTCCATATAAGAGCATCCCCTTATTTCCTGCATAAAATTAATGTTACAGATAATGCAAATGGCTTGGACCACCACTTCAAATAAAATCAAAGGGAAATGTTTTATAAAGAGTTCATAAAATGAACATTTCTCACACATACAGCTGTTTGAAATAAGGGATTCCACAAGCATTTTACACACTAATCTCATTTGTACACATACTACCTGGTTAGACAATATGCAGGTTGCTCTAACTTTTTAGAAGAAGCAAGGCAATTTCTACGTTGAGTAAACTCAAGCCATAAACGAGACTTTTGGATTGCAACCAACCGGTAGCTAAAATAACATTTCTGTTTCTCCTACCGTTTTAAAGGCAAATCAAAGCCTTCAAGAAAAATGGAAAAATAATCATGGTGGGTTTTACAGTAAAAAAAAAAAATTTAATAATAATAAAAACACTGGTGATACTTCTTCAAATCTCTCCGTAACTTGCAGCTGGCAAATTGATCGAATTCAGTATGTTGCGTAACACTCAAAAGTTAGAGAGCAACAGTTACTATGTAACGCCCTCAAATAGGGCCCACAGTTGATGTACCTTCTCCGGAGCCCAGCGTGTCCAGGGGCCTCGGTACTTTGCGCCTCAGGGAGTCCCCGTGTGCAGGCTCCTGGCACCTGCCGGGCCAGGTCCAGCGAGGCCAGGGCAGCAGCCAGCCACCCCGATGCCGGGAGACCACCCGGGACCCCCGGGCAGCGAGGAATCCTCCCGGAACTGCCAGCCCGGCTGGGCGCTTCCTAGTGCCAAAGGCTGACACTCAGGCCGTGACCCCGGGACCCCGGAACCGCCCCCGGGGAGGAGACGCCCCGGACGGCACAGGCTCGCCCCGAAGGCCAATCGGAAGGCCAAGGGCAGGAGCTCCGGGCCAATCGCAGCGCACGGCGGCCGTGGCGCCCCGGGCCTCGCGCATGGTCCTGGTGCTCAGCCCTGCCGCTCGCCCTGCTTGGAATCCTGCATGGTGCTGGTGCTCGCCCTGCATGGTCCTGCTGCTCGTCCTGCTGCTCGCCCTGCATGGTCCTGCTGCTCGGCCTGCATGGTCCTGCATGGTGCTGGTGCTCGGCCTGCTTGGTCCTGCATGGTCCTGGTGCTCGGCCTGCATGGTCCTGCTCGGTCCCCCCACCTCCTGCCTGCGTTCCGGGTAAGGCACCTGTGGGAGTCAGCTGGGGGGCAGGTGGGTGTTCACAGTGTTCCACGCTGCTGGAAGACCCGGGGTGCAGCTCTGCGGCCCTGCGCTCACCCGTGAGGCTGCAGTTTCTTCTGAGGAAGGACGCGGCCACCGGGACCCCTCAGGACTCATCCCTACCTCCCAGTCGTGCCCCTAGGCCTGCGTCCGCTGCCTCTGCCCACTCACGACTCTTGACCCACAGAAGGCCACTGCTACGTCGGCGTATCCAAAACTGGCCCGCTTACGCTAGGGCAGGCTTATCGCCCCTCCCCCCTTTTAAGTGCAAGTTTGGTCTTAACCCACACAATCTGTTTAACATATACGTGAGTGTGCAGATTCTAGAGAAATACGCAGCCAGAGCTAGAGTGCCTGTGTGCCCATAGAAGATAGAGCCAATACAATAGAGATTAGGTGAGCTAAGACACAAGGCACCCCCGGCACTGTCAGCTAGTGTGGTTACAAGGCACCCCGGGCACTGCTCCAGGCTCTGGGACAGGGCAGCCACCCCGGGCACTGCTCCAGGCTCTGGGACAGGGCAGCCGCCCCGGGCACTGCTCCAGGCTCTGGGACAGGGCAGCCACCCCGGGCACTGCTCCAGCTCTGGGACAGGGCAGCCACCCCGGGCACTGCTCCAGGCTCTGGGACAGGGCAGCCACCCCGGGCACTGCTCCAGCTCTGGGACAGGGCAGCCACCCCGGGCACTGCTCCAGCTCTGGGACAGGGCAGCCACCCCGGGCACTGCTCCAGCTCTGGGACAGGGCAGCCACCCCGGGCACTGCTCCAGCTCTGGGACAGGGCAGCCACCCCGGGCACTGCTCCAGGCTCTGGGACAGGGCAGCCACCCCGGGCACTGCTCCAGCTCTGGGACAGGGCAGCCACCCGGCACTGCTCCAGCTCTGGGACAGGGCAGCCACCCCGGGCACTGCTCCAGCTCTGGGACAGGGCAGCCACCCCGGGCACTGCTCCAGGCTCTGGGACAGGGCAGCCACCCCGGGCACTGCTCCAGCTCTGGGACAGGGCAGCCACGTGCCTGTGTAGAACTTGGCCAGGAGGCCTTACTCCTTGGCTGGCCACACACATTTCCTTCATCAGCGATCGTTTTTTGTAGTGACACGTGAAATTATTTTGTAGTATTTGCTTGTTACACCTGTTGTAAAGTGTCAGTGTTGTGCGGGGAAAGTGAGCTGGACTGGATTGACTGTTGGTGTAGGAGCCTTTCGCCTCCACAGGCTGCTCTGTGCCACGCCTGTGTCACACCGCCCACACCTGCCCCTACATCCTCAAGACCATCGTGAGCACACCTGCCGAGTGGCACTTCTGCGCAGAAAAGGAAGATGAGCTTGTCTGGGGCCTGGGCTGTTTTCCCTAGTAACTAATTTGGATACAGTGAGCAAAACAATGAAATTGTGGATGAATCAGTATTATCAGACATTTGAAAATTCATCTCATTAGAGGAACTACTTGGTCTGCAGTTGGAACTCAGTACCAGATTTCTGAGGTGGAAGTGAAGCAGGCTGGGAAGTTGCCAGAAGGAATTCTGGGGGGACAGCATCCCCGGTGCTTTCCAGTCTCAGTTTGAATCCTCTTTTGAATGCCAAATACTGGCTTGCTGCTGACTGCCTCCCAAGCTCTCCGTGTTGTGGGGTTCCCACAATAGCTTAAATGGATTCACAGATATTCACAGCCCCTGTCTTGAAGAATTATGAGGCCCTGGAAATACAAGGTGAACAAAATAATTTAACAAAAATGACATTAGTCCATTTAATGGACTATCTTAGGCTGCAAAAAAAAAAAAAAAAAAGAAGCAAAAGGCAGTTATTAAAAATGCAATAATTGGCATCCTTGATTTGATAGTCTGTATATTGTGCCCAAATTAATGTCACTTGCATAGTGTCCTAATCAGGCGCTTCCCAGGATTATCAGAACTGTGTGAATGTGCGAGAATCTGTCGTGATGTGGCCTCGCCCCACCTTTGACAGCAGAAAGGAAAGCGACTGTTGTACCGCAGGGGGAGAGCCCTGCCTGAAGACGCCTTCACATTGGGACCTAGCCTCTGTCCCCTCGGATCCCAACCTTGCTGTCCTTCTCTGCAGGTTTCATGCTGGTCAGACCCCAAAAGAACCTCTATCTTTACTATTTAATCTCCTCTTGGATTGTTTCTCTGGTGAATATTAATACAAGGAAAAATTAAACATTGCTGAGTACATCATGCTTAAAAGCATGTCTGTGCACAAAGGAATGGCTGTTTAATTTTTTAAAAAATTCATCATCTTAAATTAATATTTGATAATTTATAATCAAGACTGAATTATTTATAGTGCTGGGAACAATATTGGCAGGAATAATTGAGTTTAAACATGATCGCTGAATTCAATTTTTACTAGCAGTTTTCAAAGTATATAGCAAAAGATCAATTGACTAAAGTGGTGAATTGATTTTCCTGTCTTTATTGTAGCGCTAACAAAAGGTATTAAAATAATAATTTTGAAAAGCAGTGCAAAGAAAGCAAATACCATCTCCGACTTGATAAAATCAGTGAGTAAAGAGCCTATGAGTGGCACATGAGTAAATTTGACGTATTGGATACATATATTGGGAAAATAGGGTAGCCTGATTATCACAGCAAAGGATGTAAGTGCCCAGCTCATCGTGGTTACAGGTTGCAGTGTATCCCTTAAAAATTCACATATTTTTCTCTTTGTAAATCCACCTTTCCAATAAAAAGAAATTTTGAGAAATTCAAATATTGAAATCTTAAATCCAGTCCCAGAATGTAATCCTACTTAGGATTTACTTCCATTAAAAAAAAAAAAATAGATTTGGAGATAGAGTCTGGCGCATGGAGAATGCCCTGTAATCGTGGAGGGAGAGTTTAGGAAGATGGTTCCAGAAAGACAGGGAGCACAAGAGATTGCTTGCAGTTCTCCTCCATAGCAACAGGTTCTCCTCCATAGCAACAGGTTCTGGTCCACAGCCTCATGTGTACCCAGCCCTGCTCACAGATTAATCTTGGGCTCCCAGCGTCCAGAACCAGCGGGCAATACATTTTTGTTTTCAACAAACTTGGTGTATGGAAGCAAAGTTAACTCAGTAACATAGTTGATTTTTCTTTAATAAACATAATGAAGAAATATCACCACAAAATTCTTGATTATTCAACTAATCTCATGGCTATTGTTTATAAACTACTATCTTGTTCATTACTTTCAAATTAATATTCAGTTGTTAGAAATCAATGATGTGTTACTAGGAAACTCTAATATGAATAGAGCATTTTTTATTTTCCAAGCACTGCATTTAAATGCATTAAGTGTGTGAACTGATTAAGGATGGTGCTGTTGTTTCCAAGTGATAAATGAAGCCCCGAGGCATAGAAAAATAAGTTGCTTAAATTTATACTCACGAGTGTGGTGGGTGGGAGATCCAGACACGAACTAAAGCCATTTGGTTCCGACACATTTGTTCCAGCTGCCCATCATAATAATTATTGATGCAATTAATGGATTCTCCTGCCCTCCCCCATTCTTCCAGTTTCTGAGTGGCATGACATCAGCTGTCTGCCTCAAAACCAAAAATATAGCCTGGGGTCCTGTGTAGTCACATTCTTTCATATAACGCATTGTTTTGGGGCTTCCAACTACACTTGAGATAAATTTTATTAGAAATAACTATCAATTCTTTATGTTCCTTATTTCTGTTAATTGATTTAATTATTAAAGTAAAAATTATAAACTTTCACAAATTGCATATGTAGCATTTTCAGTGAAGGGTAAGAAGGTCTTATTGTATGAATGTTTTGCAGTTGAGCATCATGGAGTTGAGTCACAGCAAAAAGACACATACGTGTACTTGAACATGGATACACACACACACACAGAGACACATTGTCTACCTGTGCGTGACGTTATTTCCGACAAAGTCAGAAAAAAGGGTTTATTGTGTCTTGAGGGGGTGGTTGGCATAACTTATGGCTCCTTTTACCTAGACGGTTCTCACTTGGGAAACGCCAGCTCAACAGTCACAGAGTTGGACATGTTGGCACTGCCTTTCTCTGGGGTTCCTCTCTTTCACCAAATCTGTAAGCACCCCTGTTTCCTGAACATATCATTTCCATCTCGCGATGTTCTTATTCTGGAAGCTTTCCTTGGGTTCTTCCGTTATCCCACAGTTTTTCTCTCTGCCCCTGTGTATAGTTTGGAATGTACATATGTCATTTCTGGTAAAATGTTTCCTCAAGAAGACGTGGTAGAGCAAGTGTCTAGATTGTAACAGGACTCAGAGCCTCGGAGTGGGGAATCACACGTCATGGCTCATCTGATGGATTGTAGGAGCAACGTTTATTGTCCTGTTGTCTTAGCTTTATTATTCTTTTTAATTAAAAACTAATGGTTACAGGGTCTCTAAAAATGTATGAAAGTACATGAAAGTGTACTGAAAAGAATGCATGAA